TTGAAATAAATCTTCTTAAACATGGAGAAAAATGGTCATTTTTGTAAGACTAGTAAAAATATTTTGACTATTTTTGCGAAACTCATGATAAACTTTACTCTTGCCTGAAAGTAAAAATACGGCCAGAAGTGTAAGGTAAACATTACATACATTACATACAATTAGTAAAACCATTCAAGTAATTATTATCTTTTAGTAAAATAAATCATACTTTCAAGACTTTATACACCTGTAATTTTTTGTCGCACAGTAAAATAAATTTTTTCAGTCTAAGATAAAAAATACATCGATGAAGTAAATTCTATTGAGATATTGATAATTTATAGAGAGAGATTTACTTTACAAAATGTAAAAAGTACATTATAGTACAGCTATAATATATGACGATTGCTCATTTAACAGAAAAGTAAATTTTACATAAATTATAGACATCTGTCCCTATATAAACCTGCCAAGCCCAATTTAAATTTATTAATTCTAGCTGTCTCATATTACTTTACATTTTTCTCCGTGAGCGGCAGAAAACTTGTCGGAGGTTCTCGGGACACCCTATGTAATGGTATACACGTCAATACCGTAACGTTACGAGCGAGTACACGCCGGCGAGTACAAATAACACGCAACGCCCGTCCGGAACGTGCAACTGAAAAGACCGGCCTCTCACCTCTTCCTCGCCGTGATCGGCGCGCACCTGTCCGTATCCACGTCCGTATGAGCTTTTTTTTCACGATGATGACGTAATAAAAACGCAAGGACACTTTATTCGGCGATCACGTAGAATACTAACGGAGCAGCAATCAACTGCGACGCGTTCGTCGTCGCAACTGACTAGCCACCGGGATCCAAATACCCCTTTCTTTCCATTCGTTCGCCCGTTATCGTTTACCCGTTATCGCTCGCACGCTCGATCTTTATCACGTTACAGGCGCAAATGAGATTCGCGATCCGCGTCGAACTGCGAATCCAAAGATCGACGATGATCAATCTCGATAATCACGCGGAGGGCGTGCGAAGAAGAAAAGAGTATATACTTCATCCAAAAAATATGGGGACGTCCCTAGGAAAATTTACTTCAGAGGACATAAACACACTATATACGTATTGGAGATTGAGGACTGCGAATTAGAAATTAAAATTCAACCAATTAGATCATTTTAATTTTAATCCGTTTCGTTCTGATTGGTTGAATAAACTTCACTTCGCAATTTGCAACCTCCAAGTAGACATGACTTTAAAGATGTTTTCTGGACGTCTTTAACCTGTTTTATAATTTTTGTTTCCTGTTTCTTGCCTTTTGTTATTTTTTACATCTTGTTTTTTTGTTTCTTATCCGGTTTTTTTATTTTATATCGCCCGAGATAAAAGTTAACGAATTCCGAAAGAAACAAGAAATACAATTGTTGATAAAACGGTTGCACAGAAAAAAAAAACAAAAGATAAAAAACAAGAAACAGGAAACAAAGAGCACATTGTAAAATAGACTTTTAGGATATCCTTTGGAGATCTTTGCTGTATAGCTGATAAAAAATTCGTCATCAGAAATTAAGGGTCAAAATTGGATTTTATATTCGTTTCCATCAATACAGATCAAATTCAATTTAATCGTCATCTTTTTCTAATTTTATGAATAAAAAAAAGATGGAAAGTCAATTGAGAAATTAAAGTTATTTTATATTGATAGAAAGAGCCAGTTAACTTCTTTCTATTATGTCAAATTTTACAATAAGAATTCAAAAATCAAATTTGAATTTTTGTTCACAATGGAAATTCCAGAAATATGACAGACGATTTAAAAAGATGGAATTAATATATCAATTTTTTTATAATATTATTTTTAATATAGAGAGCTCGAATTTATACTGTTAATATATCATCACTGCCGATTATTTATGACAATAATCATATGACCTAACAGTTCACTTATCAGTGAATTATAAATGGCTCATTCGTTTATCAAACGTATTGTTTTTAATTGGGTCGAATTATTTCAGAGAGTATTCTACTCCAAAATTGTTAACTTCCAGGAGACAAAAGGGAAAGATCGATAACATTTATATATTTAAAATAAAGAAAACATTCTATTGTCTATTTCGAAGAAGAATAAAATATCTATAGAATGTCTTCAGAATAAATTTTCCCATTGCGATCGTACTCATCAATGATTTATCTGCCGTTTAAGAATAATTGATTTCAAGAATAAGGTTCCTCTCTTGAAATATACCTTGAAATTTTCCTTTTCACATATTTATAGAGTTGTCTCCGCGGTACATATCCAAAAAAATATCAAAATCTCCGGAAGTCCTCTCGAGGTAGACGATAACGGTTCGAGTGAATTCCACCTGCACGACGTATCTTCTAATTCATTTAATACCAATGGCACTTCCTTCGGATACGAGAAAACATTATGTAGCGGGAGAAAATCGCATGAAGCCGATTTCACGAGCTCGCGTGCCACCGCGGAAAGCAACGGCGATAGGACTGATCGTGCGGGGCTCCTTCTTGTGCTAGCTGATCCCCCTCAAGCTCGTCAGGTATCCATCGCTGCGTCATAACACTAACAATAAAGTGCGAACAGTTGTCCACTGTTGGAAGTCATCTGCAAAAGAATTTGTTTAAAAAAACAATACATTAAAAAAATACATGAATATTTTTTTGTCATTTTATTTTTAATAAGATTCATGCCTATTTCCACCAACGTAGATTAATTTTAATCTCATTTTTAGATCCAGTCAGATTCTAAAGATTAGAAAAAGACAAAGAGTAAGTTGAACCGAGATTAATCTACCTTGATGAAAATGGATATCAGTTTCACAATTTTATGGTTTAATTTTTAATCGAGGTTCAACTTGTTTCTCATTTCTTTCCAATTCTAGAATTAGAAAGAGATAATATATAAGATGAATGAGTAAGTTGTGAAACTGGGTCTAAATCAATTATGAAAGGAAATCATTTTCATAAGATGCATCCATTTGTTTTGGGCTTAATTTTAATTTCAGTTTTAATTAACTGTTTATATTTTTCTAATTCTTATAATGTTATTATAATATATATTATACGAAAAAAGGATAAGTTCTTAAAATTAGAAAAAGATAAGTTAAACAGAAAATAAAATTAATTTTACATTGGTGATACCGAGTTTTAATAAGTAAACGTTTGGATAAAGAGCGAAATAAAAGATAATTGAATTTTCCTGGTATATCATGTTGTAATACGTTAACATATAATGCATGTTTCATCAAGTAAATTATCATTAATTACGTATTAAATACATATTCGCTTTCATGTGTGTATTTAAATCTTTTATTTAAGCTTCAATACCTACAATACCTATAGGAAAAGTATCACAAATGGCATCGTTATTGCCGGGTCGTTGAACGATGCAAAATGCGTATCGTACAATACCATATAAAAAATCGTGAAAAAATCGTGTAAAAATGTGAACACTCTCAAAATTTAATTCATTATACGCATAATACTATAATTCATATACTCATATACTTATTAATTACAAATTATTACTGTCCCGTTAAAACGCAGGACACTTATTTTGAAAATCGTACAGTTCAATATTATATTTTTTGTACAAAAGAACAGATCGTTTTTCGATTTTAGAAAGACTTCCGAAACTGGACGTGAGTCACTCTCAAAGAAGTCTCATGTCGCGATCAGACAGATTATTTCCGACAGATTGCACGTATAAGGCTCATATAAATACCGGAAGTAAAATCGATATTATTAATGATTTCTTCTTTCCCTTTCTATCATTATTAATAATCTTGGGAGCCTCGAATATCAAAAGAGATGATAGCTCTCGTTAAATGTATCAAATACAATAACACTGCGAGAGATATCTTGTCTAAGGGCCAAGTACTCCGAAGATAAGCGTCGATCGTCCAGCACCGCTCGAGTATTGTTCAAAGATATCGGATAAAAATATCGCATAACAACATATTCCCCGCATCGCACTTCGTACAAACAGTAACAACATAGCGCACTTGTTAACAAAAAAACTCAAATGCACTATAGAAAAAGTTCAGTCTATATATGGAATCGTTTGGAATTATAACACGTTTATACTCTCTAATTGCGCTCACATATTTCTAAACTCTTTGACTTAATACATTGTGGACAGGTCGCGTAAGTTCATAGTTTTCCATGTGATAGATAATCAAATAATAATGTTAATTGGTGGTAATTTATTTCCATTCCCATTTTTTACGTATTGCGTAATAAGTAAATCTCGTAAAGAAGTTTATATGATAATTATAGTAGGATTATATACATTACGACGATTTATACTTTATCATTAGTTTCTTTACCAGTCCATAATGTTTTAAGACACATACATAAGTATGTATACATATAAGTATTTATGTAATTAAGTATTTTAGGGTTTAAAATCTCTCTTAAGAATTCCGAGACGGAAGAACGCAGAAAATATTACATTTACATCCGAAAGACTTTGCGAATACATACAAATGCTTATACTCTATTCGTTATTGCTTCAATATATATCTGTATATAACATCCATATCAATTAACGTGAAATAATCATCTAAAAGTTTTATAAAAAGATATAAAGACAAAAAGCTAACGCAACTAATTTCAATTACAAACGAGTAAAAGTTTTAAAAGTTACGGGCAGCTAGATGCAGCTCTGGTTGGATGATAAACACCTTTGAGACGCGACCACAGTTCGATTTATCTTCCATCATCAAGTAATTCCTCATCGGTACGAGCAGTTCGTCGTATGGGTCCATGTTTAATTGATATTCCTGCATGGCCCGGTATATGGCCTTGAAAGGTGGTTGTTTTTGCGAGTGAAACGTGCCACGGGAACCATGCAATACCAGAGCACCTTCTCTTTCCGCTTCCGCACATACTGACATGTACATGCAATGGTCAGGTCTGTAGTTGTACCGGCATGAATATACGTATAGCTTCTCCGGATGATAATGGAATATTATGTTGATAATGTCCTGATCGCCCCAGGTTATCTTCAGTCTATACTCCTTGTGAATGGGAATTACATAGTCCGTCCATCGGAACTTCCTCATTCTCGTCAGATTCATCAGCATCACTCCTGAATTGACCCCCAACTTGCCATAATATGGATGTTTGGCGAATCGATTGTACCAACCAGTGTTGGGATCCTCGTGCTCAGGACTGAGGGCTGCCAGCTGACTGGAGTTCATCTTCTTGAAATTGTCCCAGACTTTCTCGGGTGGCGCCAGAAACAGAGTGTCTGTATCCACGTAGAGAACCGCATCCGTATCATTCAGTACAGTCTAAAACATAAATCCTGTAAATCTTGCTCTCAGAAAAAAACAATGTTAGTTAGATAATGATCGTGTAATTTTTTCCCTAAGACAAGAAAGTTAATATTTTTCATTACCTACAATGATAAAATTTTATTAATAAATTAGGCTGTGAAAACTTGATAATGGAAACAAGATAAATTGGAGAAAAATAAGGAAAGTGCTAAAGATAATTAGAGATATAAGGAGTTCTTTAAGTATTAAAAAATATAAAATAAAGATGGAGTAAGATTTTGTAAACCAAGTTTTTTCCTGGCTATCATATATTCTAAAGTAAATAACTCTATTCACTTTTCATGTTTTCTTTAGAGAAAAAAATTACACAATCGCTATCCTGAAATTAAATCACTAATCAGATTTGCTTACTGGTAGAAACAGTCGTTGTGCCGCACAAGGTTTAAACAGCTTCTTCCACATGGCCACATCGCTACCATCCGGGAAGGTAATGGGCCGCACCAGGAAATCAAAAGTCTTATTGGATATGAGTCGCCATTCTGACAGCTTCTCGCTGAAGGCTGGTATCAAATTCTGTTCAGCCAGTATTATGAATTGTAGCGGCCTGCTGGTGAAGACCAGTGCTGATTTCAGCATAGTTAGGGCCTCGTGCAGTCTGTCTCCGCATACAACTACGCATATCGTCACCTCGCTTGTCGACGGGGTACCTGGGGACTTCTTCGAGAGCGCCAAGCGCTCCCTGCTCGCTGATGGTTGGTCGTATAGCTTGATAGAGAAATTGGTGGTCACATTCAGCAGTATTATGAGCGCGGTGAGGATAAGGCACAGCAAGAACAACTTGTATACAGATTTCATCACGTCGTATTGCGTTGCGTTTTATCTCAAATTGAACAGAATTGCGACGTGGTCGATAGACGACGTCGGCAGTGACCTGACGGCATTTTGGACTCCTCCTAAAAGCAGACGTCAATCCACGACATGTTTGTGGAACACAACGGGTTCGCGCCGTCGATGTTGCGTTTCGCGACTCAAGTAATGGTCTGCGCCATATTTACGATATAACTCATGATGGAAGGGATAACAAGTGTTCTATTTTCTGTTCCTGGATATCAATCATGAAACTTTAGCTCTAGGATGAAAAGTGAAAAGTGAAAATTTTAACCATTAAAGTTAATGGAGAAATTTTTCACTTTTCATTTTTTTTCTAGGATGAAAAGTGAATTATTTCATTGGTTGCTGAACATCTAAAGATAAATTTAAGGAAACCTTAAGTGCAAGGTCTGACTATGAATACACGGGCACAAATCTCCGCCGTCTCTATGAATGTCGCGTGAGCGTGAAGGGAAAAGGCTGCCAAACATATTCGTAGCTAAACATATGCTAAACATATTCGTAGTCGTTTTTATTTTAAAACTGTCTTAAATAATGTCTTGAATGATGTCTAATTGATACTGAATTTTTCTTTGTTTAACACACTTTATTCTCTTTCTATAGAAACGAGGTTTGATACACGAAAAAGGTCGAGATATTCTGCACTCTCAGGTTTACTCTGATAATACTTTTCAAATTTATAATAAACTTCTTGATATCGGAATTGATGGATGTCGATTTTTTTGATAATCGGTAAAGTCATTAGTAACTTTATCGATTTTATCGGCAGTCAATAAATTCAACAGTAATTTTATCGATTACAAATAATTAAGATCCCTGTTTACTGATATCAAAAATTTTTAATTTAAATTTTCTCATCTAATGTGTTTAAAAACCATTAAGACATCGTAAAGATGTCTTTTGGGACATATACATGTCCAAAAGAAATCTAATAGACAGAGATTTTTTTAGATAATATATATTGTTTAGGTCAAAAATTGTTTGCACAAAAATTGTTTTTCTCTTTATTGTTTATCTAAAGAATCTTTTTGGACTCTTAAGCCTATTCTATAATGTGCTTTTTGTTTCTTGTTTCTTGTTTTTTTTACCTTTTGCTTTTAATTTCTTTGCAACCGTTTTATCGACAATTCCTTGCTATGTATTTCTTGTTTCTTTCGAAGTTAGTTAACTCTTATCTCAGACAATATAAAACAAAAAATCAAATAAGAAGCAAAAAGATGAAAAAATAGCAAAAAGCAAGAAATTGGAAACAAAAGGCACATTGTAGAACAGGTTTTATTACATAATACCGCAATTTGATGACTATTTTCTAAATAATGTAATTAGCTGTTTATCGCTTAAAAGTAGTAAACATCAATTATCTTAGAGTAATAATGTAATTAACAATTAATGCTGTATTTAATACCAACATATTTTATTATTGAAATATTATCTAAGAGTTGACGACAATGCCGTAGAGTTGCTCTGTACCAAAAAAACATTTTTTTTCTATCTAGAACACATACATCAGATCTTATTTGATCGTCAGAAGGAAATGACAAATCGAGAGTATCTTTATTGCTATATAACAATCTCTTAAGTGTGATAGACCATCAGATTTAGGATTAAAAACTATACATCCCATATCAGTGAATATAAACAAACGTGATCTCCACATTTCTAACGAGATGCAATAAACTGAGAGGAAGAACAAAATTTAAGAAAGACAATATTATCAATATATTATCAATATATTATATAATATATTAATACAATATATTATATAATATTATCAATATATTTGTGATAGGTAATGTCGTATGTCAAGCATCGAATGGCTTGCCGCTCCGTAGATCTGGGTTCCCACTTGCCTTACATACACGATTTTTCGCGTTTAAGAAGCCGAAAATGACTCCATATATCTGAAGTACGATTCCATAATGTCTTTAAATGTCTGCCTACCAATAATTGTCCATTGCGCAGATTTTTATATGGTAAAAAGCTGCGCAATGACACCGACAACTGTCGGTAGATGTGTAAAATGGTTACAAAATCGCGCCCTTGTTGATTAAAAAGCTCTTTGATCACTGCCGGTTCGGATCCAGCATTAAATTTATAGGTCCCATATTATTAGTGGATATTATTTATGTACCTAAGCACAAAAAGTAATTGAATATCCCAAAATTCCATTAGATCTTTCTAAGGTCGCATAAATCATATTTGAACTTTTTGGTTTATGAATTTTTATTTCTTTAATTATTTAAACGCATTACATAATAATAACAAATAATGTTACACAGTATGAATTTGATTTTATTTCAAAGATACTAATTGCTTTTCTACACTACTAATAATCTTCGAATCTACATCTTGATAAAATAGACTATCAAAATTTGGATGACTCATCATCGCTTTTAATGTCTTTTTTGCATCATTCCTGCAGTTAATATATGTTATATGAGTGTAACAATAGCAAATATTATTGATAATATATTCCCAATAGATGGGAATCAAAATCATGTTTTGAGATTTACCTTGTTTCGTTATTACCGTCAAGAAGAAATTTAGCACACATTGTGAATATCTTACGGCGGAGATCTTTGAGATTTGAATTTGACAATAAACATTCCACACCAATAATATTAATAATATTATAAAGCAATCGACTGATGGTTGCCCTTATCAACGGATTTTTATGGCTGTATAACGTTACAATATAATTGTTGGAGATGTCAATTGAAGCAAAGATGAGATAAAGTATATTTAATTACCTAGCACTATGTTCGTTGGTCAATATACGAATACAAGTTGCAGGAGGCAAGTGTGACACCATAGAATCCAAGGCACGTTGAGCATCATTTCGGATTCCTTTGTTCGTATGCGTGCTTTTCAAAAGCAACATGGATGCAAGTTCATCGAATTCAGGTCTTTGAGTACATTGGACTGTCTTGTATAACTCCATTGCTATGTGGCAGGCAGTTCTAACGACGTGCGGCCTCGTATTTCGCAGTAAACTGCGAAAATAATGTTACATTGTAGCGAATAAAATACATAACTCTATCTGTCTAAAATTTTTAAAGTAAATATCATTCTGAAGATGAATCTCATTCTTTGATTGAAATTTGTGCTATTCTTTGTCAAGAGTTTAATTTTCATTCATTAAAATGAGACTCCATTCTCATTCTAAGAAGAATTTAGAGAGAAGAGATACAATATAGAGATGTTACAATGACCTGCATAATGTTCGATATATACGAGGCATGTTGGAGTCTAGTAATTCCGGTTGAATTCTCGAAATGTGCATCAGTTTTGTTAAAGCTGATACACTGCTTTGCCATTGATCCTGCTTTAAGCTGTGCATGGCACGTTTCAATGCTTCATGTGGACTCGCGAATTCTTCTTGTGTTTCTACACAATCGCTCTCCATAGATACGTAATCCCCATAAATGACCGTAGAATCATCCTTCGGATATTTATTACTGAAAACACATATTCAAAATTTTCACATGAGTAATACATTCAACATTTATTGTTATTTATACATAATATATTTTGTTTGTAATTTACTAATTTGACTTAATTCAAATAATTTGTCCCATTAAAATTTTAATAAAATGCGAAGAAATTAAACGTATTCGATGTACCTGTCAGATAACGTGGAAAAACGTAGGTCGTCCGAAGTCCCGGAATATACTTCGACAAATTGCGTTTTTGCAACTTGTGATGAATTTGCATTCTCATGCTGAATAGATAAGGAAGTCGTTTCCGTCGCACGTGAGGCAGACTTACCTTTTATCCAAGACAGTTTTTATACGAAATAAATACTGGCATTTATAAAAGATTTCGCAATCGACTAATGTTCCTACCTGCGCCTTTGCACATGGGACACATAACATATTTCTTGCATCCCATATGCGCCATTCTATCACGATTTTTCTTATTGTAACACGATATACGGGGATATTTTATAAAAATTCGATTACTTTAATGTTGCAGGAATTTGTCTGCTGTCTCTAAACGTCCATTTTTAACACGTAAGCATCGCTTGCATAACTTTCTATAAAAGTGCTGCTTTGGCATTTAGATAAATTCAAGTCGATATTAACATAAATTTGTGTTAATGTCTGATATTGGCATGCAATAAATTCGATAAAAATTTCAATAAAACAAATCGATAGAGATTACGATGACGAGAGTAATGCTGTAAAAGATAGCAATAATTGAGCACTAAGCTAATAAGAAAAAAAATTTCTGTATTTTTTTGAAAATAATAATTTCTTACGCTACAAGAATATGTACATTATATATTATTTCTCTATACATTATATTAATTATAGAATTATCTATAATTAAAAAGCGATAAAGCTAGAAAATATAGCCGAGTCGCATTTATCCTAATGAATAAGATAAATTGGTCCTTCGATAAACTGCAAAATAATAAAAATTATTTCCTTTTGTGTTGAGAAAGCGCTTTCAATTGTATGGTCCGGTTCGATAACACGTGTCACGTATCGTCTAAGTATTATATGTTACACTGCTCAATTCAATTACGAACGAATTGAAGGATAATTTATATCCCCATTCCTTACAGTTTATATCACACAATTCCAGTGTATAGAACTTCGTTCCGCACTGTATTTTAAAGTCCCAGTTTGTTTCGCAAATGAAAAAATTTGACTATCTTTGTTTTTTAATGTCTCCTAAAAAGTGTATCGGTATCCATGTATCACGATGGCGGTTTCTCAAGCGAGATATTATAATCCAAATGATCACAATGTATAGGACACTGATAATATGACACTGCACTAGCGTGGCCGGATCTTCCTGATGTCATAGGTACACCTTGGGCCCATTGGTCTTGGGCCGGATCGTAAATTTCTACTATATTTAAAAACGTCGTACCATCGTATCCTCCTAAAAAAGAAATCGTATGTACATTATTTATAAAAATGACTCTCTAAAAAAACAGCTTTATTATTTCGACAAAGATTGAGAGAATCATACCCATTGCGTATAGTTTGCCATCAAGAATGGTGACACTAAGAGCACTGCGGGCGATGGTGACACTGCTCACGTTCTCCCATATGTCGTGCTCCGTGTCGTATCTCTCTACCGAATTCAATTGCGATTTTCCGTCATATCCGCCTATAACGTATATATATTGACCCAAACTGGTCACACCAGCTCCTGAGCGACTGCACTTCATAGGCGATACCATCGTCCATTCATCATTCTCAGGATGGTAACACTCTACTGAGCTGAGCCGGTCCTTGCCGTCGAAGCCACCAATCGCGTAGAGCAATCTGTCAGAAACGTATTTTTTTACATTATATATCATAAAAATTTAATATATTATATGTATGTTAATGATTCCAATGGTATATAAATATACCTTTCATTTTTAAATAAAATGAAAGGTATATACCTTTTATGTGACATTCAGAATACTGCAGTTTGAATTAGTAATATAATTATCATATTAATGTCATGTAGCTAAATATGATTTACTTTAAAATTTAAATGTAATCATTTGTTTTCATAAGCAATTATGTGATTAACATTTTTATCGTTCAATGAATATCGACGCTTTGACAAATAGTACCTATTCACTACTGCTACTCCAACGCCTAATCTCTTGATATGCATGGGTTTCACACTGGTCCACGTATCTTGATCCGGGTCATAGCATTCGACACTATTGTGATATTCAACGCCTGCACTGCCACCCACAGCATACAACAGACCATCCATAACGGCGACTCCAACTCTATTTCTCGGTACTGACATCGGGCTGCATGGTCGCCATTGATCCGTCATTGGATTATACCTGTCAACCCAGTCGCTGTCGTACCTGAGAAAAATCGTATGATTTTGTTAGTTATTTCAAAGTTTTTAACGTTCTATTTTAACGTTCGCATTTGAAGCCATCTGCGTAAAGCGGTATGTCAATTATAATTTTTCATGCTGTTTTTATGTGTGTTATCTGATAACTATATTTGATATATCGCAGCATAAATTTCCAGATTTTTTAATGCATTTCTATGTAGATCCATGCAAAATTAGAGTATTTTTAGGTATTTTAAAGTAAAAATAAATGTATTATTTGGATTTTAATTATATTTTCTATTTCTTAAAAATACAAGGAAACAGAATTCAGTATAAATATAAAAAGTGTCACATTCTAATTTTTGAGGAGAATTTTCTTTGAAGAATATATAATTAGATATCTAAATAAGATATTTAAAAATCTAAAAAAAAAAACAAACTTACATGGCACTTTTTGGTATCAAAATATAGCACTTTGATTTTCACAAAATGAAAACAAAATCAAAAACATAATTTTTATAAAAAGTTCTCGAGAAGAGTTTCAATAAAATTTCATAAGAATTCCTTTATTTCTTCAGGCAGGAAAAGTTTCTTGAGAATTTGAGTTTTTTCAAGATTTTCCAGGTAATTTTCCAAACACTTCATATTACTATACTTCCGAAACATCGAATCGGCATCCAAGTGCTAACCTGCTTCCCGGTGAATTGTGTCTCCCACCGACTGCGTAGAACATCCCCTTGAGAAACGCACCGCCTAAACCGGATCTGGGAACGATGAGCTTCGCGTGTTGCGTCCACGCCTTGTCGTCGGCGTTGTAGCCTTCCAGAACGTCAAGCGAATGCTTGAAGAAACCACCAGCGATGTATATTACCCGCCGCGTGTTAGGCGTACGCTCTTTCACAACCGGCTTCTTGTGCAATGTCAAGTCTTTAAAGATCTGCGCCAGATATTCGCGACACGCTGGCACCTTCTTCAGCACGTCGCAATTTTTCATCTGCTCTCGTAGAAAATTCGGCGTGAGATACTGGCAACGTACCGCGTGCAGTATGTGCTCCATCTTGGGCCGCCTCGCTTCCTCGTTATACTTAACCCACTTCAGCACGGCGTTGTAAACCTCCCTTTCCTCCTGTACATTCAACTCGTCCTTTCTGATGAGCGTCACCAACTGTATGGCGGATAATTGCAAGAACTCCTCTTCTTGGCATATCTGGTTAAAGTGCTGAACAATGAATTGATTCGCTTTATGGTACAGGTCGTGACAACCATGCTGCTCAGCAAAGTTGGCAATGCCAATCGCGTTCGTGGGATCGAGTTGTCTTTCCAGAAAAACACTACATGCATCTATCACATTGCTAACCTGCATCAAAATATACATTTATCAAACATTAAATCAGTAGATATCAAATTCTATATCAATGTATTTATTAAGCTATTTAGAAAATAAAATAATAATCAATATTCTAATTTTCCATTCAACAATATAAATGCAATAATATGCAATAATATATGTTATACGTATTTAACAGTTATACTGTTGAGTAAAAAATTATAATATTGATGTAATGTTACTACTAGTCTGAATTCTGTGATTATTGAAACAATTCTTTATTTTATATGTTTCTTTTCTCTAAAATTATTTGTTTACGTACCTGGAACATGGTAGCTGCTGATAGCAGCGAACATACAGTAATCTCAGTAACTCTTATTTGACCAGTATACATGAAGTACATTAAGCGAGCCATCGTAGTTGGACAAACACCCTGGAGCTTCACTCTTGTCATCTCACATTCCTTCAATCCTCCAGTAAACATTGCCTGAAATGTTAAAGCTAGTCAACATCAACTAATAAATAAATAATCTGCATCCATTCTAATTCCAGTGGCATAAACTCCTTTGTAAGTGAAATAAGTAAGTAAACAAATTCGAAAATCTATTTTTTAAAGATAAACTTTTTGTCCTTAAAGTGAAATATATTTTTGAAACTTGATAAAAGCAAGAAGTTCTAGTGTAGTCTATAGTTCAGCAATAAAAAACAATCCTGATAGCAATTCACTGATTAAACATTAGAATATATATATTAAGCCAATATTGTGTCGACAATGCTCGTTTCTACCAATATAGAGTCTTCATCTTTTTCTAGTTCCAAGAGTTAGAAAAAGATGAAGAGTAAGTTGAACCAAGAAATTAAAATTAATCTACACTGATAGAAACGGATATAAATTATGCTACCAGGAAAATCTCGAGTGTAACGCATGCAACACTGGGTGCTTTGCATTTAATGACACAAGTTGACACAAACATCATTCTTTCTTGATATTCAGAAACAAAGATAGAACGACACTTGTATTGACTTGTATCACTAATGCAAAGTACTTGATTTGCATAGCTGTCAAGCTTACCTTAAAGTAAGGACTAGCTGCTGCTAAAATAACTTTATGTGCATGGAACAGTTCGGTACCGACTTCCAGTATTACATCAGTCAACATATGATGGCTGCGCATCATAAACATCATCTTCATAGTCTCCTTCAGATAGTTGGCCATGCAGAATGTCATGTCCCCGAGGTCGCCCCGCTGCCGCTCCGTGTTGAGCATGCCCTCCCAATCCGTTTCCTCCCCTGACGCAAACGGGACAGCACCCGGCGACGGAGCATCGTCCCGGGCCTCTTTCTTCCGTTGACAATCTTTCTCTCCATCCATTAAAATAGAGCTGCAAAGAATTGCGCCTTTAGATATTTACATACATTCACGTCATTGCGTGCGCGTACACACTCTACTCGTTTCTCCTTTCCTTCCCGGACTCGTCAAAGTCACGCAGCTATCGTTCGTTCCCCGAGACCGCGTTTCCACCACATTCTGACAGATCAACGACAGCAACAACATCACGACGGATTCCCGTTAGTTCTGTTTTCCATGAACGACTCAAGGAACATCCCAAATCAAGAGAAAGTGTCAAAATAACTTTATTTGACATTATGAAAATCAAAATAATTTTTCGTTGCAAAATCTGACTGTTTTTAGATGTTCCGAATCTTCATTCAGAAAATCAAAATAAAGTCCTCTTGATTTTTTATTGACTTTTGCTCCTTGGGTAGTACACTTTAGGAACTTAAAAGTGAAGTAGATATATGTTTGATATCCAGCGAAAACGAGAGAAAGAGAGATATAAGTGGGTGCAGTACATGCAAGTGCATGGTGCAGCGTAGTGCAGGGATGAAAAAAAAACAGACCTAGATATTGTGCGAAAAAGCCGCGGAGGCCGTAACACGCAATAATAGCAGTGTAATCGCGCGACGCGAGTCACTCATACATGGTGTCGCAGAATCGTCGCACGTGATCGCGGGATGGTTTCCATTATGGAGATGATCGCCTGAGATCGCCTCTTTGCGCGCGCGAGATCTCGCATACGCACGGCACTTACCCGGCTTGCCCAGATCACCAGGGCAATCTACCTTCGTCGAGGAGCCACCGATGGACGCGCAAGCAAGATGGGTAAATGCGGCGGATATAAGTAAGGCGGTGTGATCATGTTTCACGATCGATCTCGCCGATGATACACGATGACGCAGTCATCCTCCACCTCCGGGCTTCGGACCTGCTCCGATAGATGCGGCGTCACCGAACAAGCGACGAGTGACAGGCCGATGGCGATATCCAAGGGAAAGGGAACACAAAAGTGAATAAAAAAGTCGAAATGACTTTATCTTGATTCTTAACGTCGATAAACGGTCAAACTTTGTAATAAAGAATTATCATCTTGACTCTCATGACGTCAAAGTCATCATTCTGACTTTCTCTTGACTTCTTCTTTCTTCTTATTATTATGCTCCTGCTTGATTTTCTGATCCAAGAAAAGGATCATAGTACCATGAGTTGAGATTTTTCTCGGATCTCGGATCTCGGATCCTGTGATAATCACCGTGGGAGGGGTTAGAGGCTTGACTTTTACTATTCAAATGTCTTCTCTTGACTTGAGCCAGGTGACGGAGTCGCTTCGCTTCGTAATTTGCATAAGCACGTGTTTCACGCCGCACGAATCACGATCAATCGCGGACACCAATACGACGAACTCGGAAGTCAGAATTCGAGCGGCGCGGGCGGGATTTCTTCTCGTTGCCGCCGACCGCTTACTGTCAGTGACTGTCACCGTTGCCGTCGTCACCGTCGCTCCGCCGCCGCCGCCGCCGCTGCCGGCGGCGCGAAAACGCGAGATCGCTTCGTCACGATTTGTACCGTAGATACGCCGGTGTACCTTTGTCCGCGCCGCTGATAGCGGTCGGCTAACGTTAACTGGTTGGCTGGCTAATAATCCACCGCGACCCTGACGGTGACTCGGTAATAAATATATATACGCCCGATGGACGGTGCGAGGCGCGTTTAAGAGAAACGGCGCAGAGAAAAATGGTTTTCAGCGAATGCTTCTTCGACCGCGCCGATTCAGCCGGTTGTTCCCCGAGATTTCAGCGAGCGCGATCGGGGAAATCTCTGTCCAATTCCGTGAAATTAAATGCTTGTGGATTGGTTTCGCGTCGGAGAGAAGACTCCGGGAAATCCGTCGGAGACGCGAAATTCGTTCGCGAATATATTTCACGATCCCGAGATCTCCCTGGGATCTTATAGATTTTTTATCTTATTGCTAGGAAGAAGTTTCTAAGTTAGATTCCTAAGAAAGAAGTTCCAACTGCCCGGAACCTGCGGTTGTATGTTTTTATAATAAATGAAGTGAAAATTAGTAAGCAAATTATTCAATAGGTGTTCATAATAGAATTATAAATATTCTGATAAATTCGCTCACTTTGTAATTCTCTCTCTCTCTCTCTCTCTCTCTCTCTCTCTCTCTCTCTCTCTCTCTTTCTCTCTCTCTCTCTCTCTCATTCCTTCATCTCATTCAAGAGATACAATAATTAATTGAGTTCCTGGAAATCAAAGTTTTTGAAATTAATAAATTTTTTCATTGTGATTTTCATCAACAAAGCAAACAGAATAGAAATCTGCATCAACAGAAGTAGAAATCGGAGCACAAAGAAATGGATGCGATCAGCAAAAAAAGCTGCTATTTTGCAATTACTATAATATTTAATACGTTTGTTTTATTACAATTAGATCCAGTGAAGAATTAAGAACGAAGAATTATATTAAAAATTAATTTTATAGTTGTAAAGTTGCTTTTTCTGCTAAATACAGCTAATGTGATTTCAGGTAATGAGCAGATGTTATACTTGAGGATTAATCATGTGATTAAGTTTTCTCTAGGACGGAAACGTGAAAAGTGAAAATATTTTTGTATGTATTATATGTATTTATATACATACATAAAAATTTCACTTTCCATGTTTTGTTTTTGAAAAAAAATTATATGATTGATATACTCCGAACGAATTTTCCGCGTCATGCCATAACTGAAGAAACATCAAGTCAAGAGAAAGTCAAAATGAGACTTTATTTTGACATCATGAAAGTTAAAATAATCATTTTTTGTTATAAAATTAGACTATTTATTAACGTTAAGAATCAGAATAAAATCATTTTGAATTTTTGTTGACTTGTGTGTTCCTCAGGTGGAAATCTTCGGGAACGAGATATCGATTTCAGAGAAATGACGATGGTACATTCCGTCCTCTCATCTTATATAGATATAAAAATGAGGGAAAAATTCCGCGCGTGTCTCCGTCCGCCCAGAGCGACGAATTCGACCGTGAAACAGCAATCGTGACCGTAGATGACTCGAATGACTTGCAAATTCTGTCCGCTTGCGGCCCGCCGGCTCGCCTCGATCTTGCGCGTAATCAAGCGAACGGTACTTCTTCGTCGCGCGCTTAGCAGCTCGAGTCAGCTGTTCCGCATCCGGAGTCTGGAGAAGCCGAATTAGTTCTATACGGGACGACGCGAGGTACCGTCGATTAATCACGATTTTCTCGCAGCAAATGAAATGAAATTTTTTATTAAAAATGAGAGGAAGAGCGCGGAGGAGGAGCGCGATGCTGCGCTGCCGAAGAATCAAAATATATCCATAAAATGCCGATCATTATTTATGACATGTTCATCGTAATCGATGGGAAGAATTAATGAAGAAAAATAATGATCTTCCATGAAAAGATTAAAACATTCCTTGTATGAATTATTTTGAAATTTATGTCGTTTTAAGTCACGTGGATTATCGTCACTGTTTTATTCATTTGGATAGCTCGAGGCGAATTTAATACGATAGATGATAAGAAATTGCTGACAAAGAAACGAAATTATTCTGGCAATTCTCGAAGTATAGATGACTAAATTTTGATGCGTGTCGCCCTCGTTTGATCGAAATCAAAACTCAGAGAACACAGTTTACATGATAATTTCAGTCGGTACAACTTATATTTTATAATACAGGGTGTCCCAAAATTCCGCACCGAATTGGAACGTTTGTGTTTGGTTCCGCATTACGTTATTCCGCTACATGGATTTGTACTCTAAATGAAATGAACGTCTATTAAGCCACACATATATATATATATACACACACACTACTTAATCAGTATTAATTATAATTATTATAATATTAAAAAAATATTTTTAAAATGTTTTTTAAATATTTATTTAATGTAAAAATATTACATAAATGTTTAAAAAATGTTTTTTAAATATTGTGTGTTGATTGGATAACAAATGAAAAATATCGCAAAAAGTATACGAAAAACTAGGAAAATACTATAGTATATATAACGTATATTATAATATTTTTCGTATATTTTTCAAAAATAGGAGCCTTGGGTATCGATGATATAATTTTATAATTTTTCTCTAGAGCAGAAATGTAAAAATTTTTATGTTACATTATTAGAAATATTCTTAAATTTTATTAACTTTTAAGTTACACAATTTGAATTTAATTTCATGACATTACATAAAAAAATTTAATGTATTTTTCATGAAAATTTATAAAATTTAATGTACACGTTCATTACATTTAAGTAACTAAATTTGTAACTTAATTTTCAGTTAAACCATTCATTTTAATTTCATTCATAACCACGAGCTTCATTTACACGTAAAGGAAGTTCATGGTTACATTTCTAATAGTATATTATATAAACATATACATATAAAGCCTGTTTTTTTGGCTGAACTTTTGCACCAGTTCATCTTTCTTCTTCTTCTTTCTTCCTGGAGAGAAAAGAAAGAAAGATGAACTAGTGCAGAAGTTCAACCGAAAAAAACAGGCCTATAGTTAGAGCTAAAAGGTTGTAATACTTTTTTTTAAATGGACTTCGGAATACAGCTCATCGAGCGATTGATTTTTATTCATGGATTGACAAATAAAAATCAATTGCTCGGTGAATAGGTTGCATTCCGAAACCCATCGAAAAAAAGGATTGCATCTTAGTATCTGACTACACATACACATACACAAAAATTTTTCACTTTTCACGTTTCCGCCTTAGGGAAAATCACGTGATTGATATCCAGATTCATGGATATTCGTACCTGTTTCTCGAACATTTTGTCGAAACGAACATTTATTCGATCTTGAGTCGCTATTGCTGTAATCTTGAGACCGATACTTTTACTTGTACAAAAATTAAAAGTGACGTAATTACATTGTGCAGTAAGTATATAAAATTAGTTTAGTAAGTATATAGTCTTCATTTAAAGTTTTCAATAATTTTACGACATAGATATAATATATGTAGTATAAAATATATGTAGTATATAAAAAAAGTTATGGTAATTCAGACGAACAACCAAACAACGAACGCGCTTTGCATGTCTACATCGCGAATTGTCTTTGATATATGAAGAAAGCTTCATGAAGAAAGCAAGTCAAACGCGAATTGAATTCGATTCTAATTCGCTTTGGCATTTATATCTAAAGTGTTTTTCGTTATCCAACCAGAAGCTATCACAACTAAAACTATCTTC